CGGGCCCTGCTCCTGAGGCGAGCGCTCAGCATTCTGCTCCCTGCCCGCTCGCCCGACTGTGCCAACTCAATGATATGGTTCTCTCTCTAGTGGAAAGAAAGCCGGGGGAAGGAGGAGGGGGATGCCTGCTTGGGGGTGGCAGTGTTGTGCAGGAACCCAAGACAAAAGAAATAGCATCTGAAGCAAACTAAACTAGGTACAGCTGGGTAGCGGGGTCAATACCTCATCTACCAAGAGGTCTGGCAGCCAATATGATTTCAAGATGTGTTTGGTTAATATCATACTCTTCTATAGCCATGGTCTGACACAATTTAGGAGGGCAGCAGGCTTCCTTTCCTCACACAAGTTAATGTTTTGAGCCTTAAGCAAAAATTGAAAAGTAGGTGTTACTAGAACTGTTCAGACCAGACATTATCTATATGTGGAAGGTGAAATACTGGAGTAAATAGTTTTGCAACAGCTTTTTCCCCCCCTCCAAAAAAATTGCTTGAAAGAGTAATTCATGGCAAAGCTCGATTTATTTAACGACAGAAATAACCATAACTTTATACATCTAACACTAAATAAAAACAGCAGAATGTACAAATCAAATTTATTATGTACAGGAATTCACCAGGAATACTTTATAAACGGACACTTCTCATGAACTTTATTTTTTAAAAATCAAATTAAACAAAATCAATTGCGTATTTGCAGCCTGACTTCAGATAGACTGCAGAAGGGTAGTGAACATCTTAATTTAAGAGCTGAAGTCCTCAGGAAAACATAAGGCAACTTCACACGGATGGGAACAGCAAAGCTAAGAGCGACACTCCCTGCTTACCTCATGCCGTTCTGAAAAGGTAAGGCACGCTGTGCTAGGAAAGGGGTGCCGCAACATTCAGCTTTGACATTCCTGGCTGAGTCTTGCTTAGGAAACAAGATTAGTTGCAATTTGTTTGGTTAGTTATTACTGTTGTTATAGTTGTTAAACGGCAGGCCATCAAGTCAGTTAAAAAGCTCTTCTACAGTAGGCAAACAAGGCTCTGAAATTCAGATTCACTTCAGCTTCATCCATAGGTTGGGCAAATAAATAAATGCACCGAAGATTCCACTAAGGTGCTGGTAATATTCCTTTTGTAAGGTAACACGCTAAATATACAAATAACGTTCCAGCGCTATTTACAGCTATTTTTCCTTGAACATTTCCTCACTTCAGTAATACATAATTATTTGTGAAATAAAAACACTGAAGTAAGCTTTGAAGTTTATCTAGTGCTCTTTTAGATCTGTTTCCATCATAATGGCAGTAGTTTAATTTAAGCAGGATGGCTATCTCCAGATTCTTGAACACACAAAACCTCAAGAGTTACAGCTAGCAGTATTTGTTTTGTTGTTTTTTTGTTTGTTTTTGGTTTTTTTTTTTTAAGTATTCATTTTAATTTTACTCCATTTAGTAATTAGAAAAGAACACAATCGTCAAGGGCTGCAGGATGCATAAAATAACTACTTCTCTGCAGGAAGACCGTGACTTTTGCAATGGTCATCTACAGATTAATTCGGATTCCAGACAAGAACTCCAACTGCATAGTTCTTAAAAACTTTTCAACGAATGCTTATCTACATGCTTGCAAAGTATATAAAGAACAGTCCATCCTGTAGCTTAGTAGACAGGTACTCAACTAGTTAAGTAAGATGAAAGGTAGAAATACTAGTTCAATTGAAGTGGCTTCTTCCTCATAGGGTTTGCTTCGATTTTGTTCAGTCGATCTGTTTCATGGGTAGAACAGTTATATGCATATAACTATTTATGGCATTCAGCCTGCAGTACCACAGGCTTCTGGCTTCTTGGGTATCTTGCTGCTGTCAAAGTTGCGAAACATCTGATAATACTACAGACCGAGAACAAGTTAAAAAATACAATTCTGCTTGTCCGTGTGCATAGCACCTTCACTTACCCTGACAGACGTGCTGCTTGCTCAAACACCCAAGCAACCAGCAATGACAGAATCCACATCTTGTACAGATACAGATGTGCACTGTTTGTGGTATTAAATCAGAGGCATTTAAACTTGGGCCAAGCAAGGCTTTGATTCATGCTTACTCATAGAACACCCATCACTTTCCATCTGTGATGTAGCACCAGGTAATTAGCTTGTCCTAGAAGTATTTTCTTACAGCAGCAGTAATAAGGTCTTCTGGAGACTCTGGTGATTTTGAGACAAATTCAATTTTTACCCCATACTTGGATTTTCATAGTCTTTATCCTGATATTGTTAGGTGTTCCATCTGGGAATTAGCAGGGCTCCTCCTTTCAACACAATACAAGACAAGATGGGAATATAAATATACCTAAGAAGTCCAGGTAGGAACCCAAAGAAGGGTGCCATTAGAACTTTCTAATTTGAGAGTTTCTACATTAAACATAATACATCTTTAGAAACATCCATCATTAGGTTGCATTCTCTGTATACATACAACAATGCAGGTGATAGCTTCCTTTATACAACCAGACATCATTGAAGTGAACATGGTTGTGCACAGAGGCTGAAGTGTAAGCACCTTGCTCACAAATAAAAATCAGTTCACTTCTCTAAGCAGTGTGCCTGCAGTGGGCTGTCCTCTGGTCAATGGTAACTCACAGACTGTCCCAGAGAACCACTTCCTCAGGCTTCAGTAGACTCCTGCCCATTATCTTGCAAAACAGTTTACTGAACCTTGGACCTGCCACTCACAAACTGGAATTTAAATAAGTTCTTCAAAACTGGGATCCACTGACTGGCACTGGTGCATCTACCCAAAGAAAAGCCTCGGATTTTCTGTATGTTGCATGAAGCACACACTGCATGAAGCATTCTGCCATCCCCCTGTCTTGTGGAGTAAACAGACAGCATCCAATACAGGCAATTTGCTCACAAACCTGATGAAATGCACGAAAAAACAGAAGTAAAAAAAAAGCCACCAGTAACTGTGCATTTCTAGCTTTTAGTGCAGGCTCTTTAATTTTTTTTTTCATTTTTTTAAAGTTTCAGCATGATACTTACTCCATGACTCAAAAAACATTATTTTTATTTTTACAGTTAGTCCAGTGCAGGAATCCTAGCCTTCAAAGCCTTGCCCCACACTGAAGCATCTTAACATTTTCCCTGTAATGCATGGTGCAGTATTTCATCACCAAGACATTCAGCACTGAGGATTAACTGTTTGAAAACAGGCATCACTGTAAGCCTCAGGTAACCAGTTAAATACTTAGCTCTCACAGATCATAAGACCCCACCCTTCTTGCTCTCTCGTACGCTATATTCAGTCTGTCTTTGTAACATGGGCCACTTCCACTTCTACAGTTTCGATGCCCTGCGTCGCTTCAGCCATTTTCTGTCCTTGCTGTTGTGCTAATACGTAATTTACCACCTGCATGATGCTTTGGTCAGACAGAGTAGAGACTGATGTACATTCTTCGGTAGCTGCAACTGCTTCGATGGCTTCGAGCATCTCTCCTGTCACTACCACAGTCTCAATTTCACTACCACCAACGCTGATCTCTGCTTCTTGTTCCTGCATGTCTGATGCTAAAATGCTGATGGCGTGCTCCACCTGTGTCCCCTGGTTATGAAACTGAAGAGTATCTTTTTCCAGCATGATTTTGCAGGGCACGTAATCCCTATGAAACTTGGTCATGTGCTTCCGTAGCGTTCGGGCGTCTATGTAAGCCTCACTGCACACCGGACAGACATACGGTCGCTCCCCAGTATGTGTCCTCACGTGGCGCTTCAGTGAACGCGCATCCGCCCAGGCTACTCCGCAGGTGAGACATTCAAATGGCTTCACACCTGCTCTCAAAGGGAAAGCAAGGAAAAGCTCACTGCCAGGAGTTCACAAAAGCGTGTGAGTGTTGATAAGAAGTGACAGGCAGAACAGCAGTATAAAAGGACGGAAGAAATCCTTTCACTTCTTCCATGTAAGCAGGAAATCCTGTTTGCCATTTCTGTACTACAATATAACGCAAGCACAAAATCTTACATTCAGTGGTAACATCTTCCACAAGTGTTCTGCTCAACCTAACTTTTTACTTCTAAAAAAAATTCTCAAAATTCTTTTTAGTGCAGTTTCTCCCCTATTTTAAGTGCATACCACTTCATAAAATTCTAGTTATTTTTCGCCAGCGATGCTTTTCTGAAACCATGTATTACTTCACGGAATTTGGCACTTACATTTCTAGCCACCCTTCGGTTCTGTGAATGCTTCTATACACCTCTCATCAAAGGCCAGCACTTATTTTAGTTAGCTTGTAATGCCATCTACAGCTTTTTCCCCTCCTCCTCCACAGCACATATATTCAAACAGTGCACCTGATGTTTGTATAATCTTATTCTCCCTTATCACATCTGAGCTCTGTGGTCTGTAGTATCTAACGAGGCACGTGGGTGGCAACAAACACTATTTCAGTGCTAGCTTTTCCTCTGTAACAGTTACTGTGGACTTAGACTAGGTATCTATTACAAGACACTCTCTGTTTAGAAACAAATGCAAAATCTCTATTTCAACAGTTGACAGCTATTAGATTTACTCTTAACAGCTCTTTAAAAGGAAACATGCTTCACTGAAGTAGTGTTGTTTTTTTCCCTGAGATGGGAGTGTATCTAGACTTCCAGTACAGCTGGAACAACCAAATACTCACAAATCATACTTCACATCTAAAGTAAAAATGCACTTTTTTTTTTTTCTTAAATTATCAAATGTTTTCATATTTTCCTCAACCATCACAGAGTTTACTGCTTCTTATAAGTCAAGAAGTTGACCAGTTTCCACAGTGGTCCTTTTGTTAAATTCAGGCCAATCATTTTGATGTTTGAAGAATATTTTATTAACTATGAGAATCTTTCAAACTGGAGAATGTTTTACTACATCCAATTCTTTGCCAGATATACATCTTTAATCACTTCTAAAAAAAGTCCCTCTTAGATTAAAGTTCGAAGAAGGACAAACTGTCACTGTCCCTGTGTGCAGCTGCAGCTTTAGGAAGATCCCATCTTCTGGGAATCGCTAGAAGCAAGTTAACAAACCAGGACCAGCATAAAGCTGGAGAATCTGTAAGGGTTTCTATGCTTCTTGCAACACAGGACATACACAGACTCAAAGAAACAATCACCCCCTTTCTTCATAATGTTTGCAGGGATTGAGGGATGTCATGGCTACTTGTTTTCTACATACCTTCATGATTGTTCATGTGTCTCCTGTATTCCCGGAGTTGCGTGAATTTTCTTCCACACTGCTCACAAACTCGTTCCAGATTTTGTTTTGCTCTTCCTTTTTTACTGTGTGTGGCTTTCTTTACATGTCTTCTGTACAAAGCTTTCTCATAAAATTCCTTACCACATATATTACACCTAAAAAGTGTTGAGAAATCTATTGAAACCATTATGCTATGCTTATGTTATGCTTTTTAAAAAACACTTTAATTATGATAGACAAAGTTTAATGGGAACACTGTCCCACATGACAAGTAGTTCCATAATTACAAATAACCTTGGATGGAGCTGCATTTTCTCTTACTCACAGCCACAAAGCTTCCACTTACCATTCTAGAGAAGTGAGATCACACACAAAGCATTTCTAACTTAATTATACTTACTCTCTTACAACTTCGTATGTGTTAGTTCCAGGACTGTGCCAGCAGGTTAACAGTTGGACCACGCTATCTGAAGTCACCCATCCATTCTCAAGTACTCAAGACCCCAGTCAACATCAATCGATCGGTACTTTAACAGCGGACTAGGAAGTTCCTTGTTGACTGGCTGTTGATCTGTACAGCCTCATACTGATTAGTGTATTTCATTTGTTAAATGAATTTCCTCTTACCTATAAGGGTCTGTGACAGAATGAGACTTGACATGAGAATACCAGTCTTTCTTCCAGCTGTAACATTTTCCACAGAACTGGCACTGAAATGGCTTCACACTTAAATGTTTGTTCATATGCTGCCGAAGATCTCGAGCTTCATAGAAACTCTTTTCACACCTGTAACAGTAAAGGTTTTAGCATCCCATACAAGATAGATCTTGGTGATCCTGATTTCAAAGGCACTGGAACTCTCTTCTTTAATGGCAACTGAAGACAATCACAAGACAACATCTATTGCATCATCAGCAAACTAGGGAAAACTAAAAGGAACAGCATTTTCTTTCTAATAGAACATTCTTTCTGTTATTTTAATGGGAAATAATGAAAGGCAAACCAACTGGAAGACATCAGAAATTTGCATTATACTGTCCACGTAAGTTCATGTGGTAACAGCTGTTTCTTCCCTCAACCAATAAGAATTAATTATTGATAAAGATAACTGGAATCTGTTGTTTGTAATGCTCAACTATATTTTTTTAGAAATGAAAAACCAAATTCAGAATCCTACAAAAAAGCATCCGAAACTAGTGAGACTCATTCTTTAGCTTGCTGCTTGCATACATCTAAATCCAGGCGAACTCCCAGTTTTCTTTCATTTCTACCTTGCCATAGTATGACTATGAAATTACAAATCGCTAGCTCCTCTTGGTATGGAAACTGCGGAGGTCAGTCTAATCAAAGACATGATTCCTCCCTTTGAAACAAATCTGCTCTTCTGACATCTTTGCCTCACCATCTGCATCTCTTCATCAGGTAACACCATATACCACTGACAGATGCATTTATGATCGAGCTAACCACAGTAGTCAGTGAGTCTTAATTTATGCTGTTTGCTAAACACAGTGTGCGTTGCAGTACATGCCAGTACATGACATCTACATTGCATATGAAATTTTCAAATTAAACCAAAACCAGCTATCACAGTAAAAGGTAGCAAGAACCCTTCTTCCAATAGCCCTTTGCCTATGACAAGCTTACCACCCTATGTGTCCAACAAATGAGTTTTAAAACCGCATCACTACTGATGACAGCTACAAGTGCAAACACACTCATTAGAAAACAGCTGTATGAAAATAGAGCTAGGTAACAGTTTAAAAACAAGCTTTTGCTCTCCAGTGCATGTAGTAACAAAAGTGATTTTTTTTTAATCTTATGCTTTAGAAGTCTTATTGCAGCCCAGTGAACAGTTTTATGCTACAACAAGGAGATGCTGGTAATCTTTAACATTACTAGAACCATTAATGGCAAGAAAAAAATAACCCACCAGAAAAACCACCAACCAACTTACTGAGTACACTGATATCCACGAACTTCAGGCTTTGGCTGGTGTTTCTTTATATGTTTACTTAGTCCCGACGCCCTGTTGAAAGATTTTCCACAGATGGAGCAAAGATACTTGGATTCTCCTGACAAAAACAAAACAAAACATGTTACAAAGCCAGGCCTCCCTAACTTTGGAGTGCTTTGCGAGAGTGCTTTTTTTTCTTCTTGTATAATTTCTCTAAGTAGCAATGTTATAAAGAGGTATTGGTTTAATGACACACAGATGGAATTTTTAAGTGTATTTTGTATGTGCCAGTGTAATACACAGAGGTGAAGTAGCACCTCTAATTACTTTATTGCACGTTTTTAACGACAGGTACAATACTGCAGCTACTAAATTAGTCATGGAGTGTGAACAGCCTAAAAAATACCCTCTTCTGTGGAAAACCCCCAATTGCCTGTGTTCATGTAACATGCAACTTCTCCAGCAATGCCGTATTGCTTATGGATGACTTGTATCTTGAATCTGTGGCACAACACCTTAAAAGAAAAGTTTTCTGCTACAACTCATCCATTTCAGAATGCTAAGTACCTTCATTCTGGAATTATTAAATTCCAGAATTTAAATTCCTTCATTTCTGGAACAAATTATTTTAACATAAAGTCTCTTACTGTTAATTCTGCCCAACTCAGGGAAGCAAGAAACACGGACATTTCCTACATATTACAATTTCAAAACTCTGCTTCTATTAAATTATTGTTATCTTTCACATGCTAAGATCTTCCAAGGTACCAGGTTTTATAAAATTTCAGTATTAGTACAGCAAGTCTTGTAAAATGTATATGGAGATTCTCAGAGATTTAAGTTATCATGTTTTCCTCTGAAAAGATAGGCTGAAAGTAAGTGCTCCAGAATATTCCAGCCTGTGGCCTATCTTTGTCCTGATTCCCTGTTCTTGTACAGAACATCTGCATAATAACATTAAATTAGGGTAAAATAACCCCAGAAAACAAATGTAGAAGGCCTACTCACCTTTATCTCAGCTGTCTTACCAGTAGAAGAAAAAGGAGAAACTACCATTTATTTTTCTCAAACAGTTCCTTTGTCACTGAAGAACAGTGTTAAAGCTCAGCAGCATACAATAGCCAGCCAAAATAGAAGGATCTCCTTTCTCATCACTTACCTGTATGAATGCTCATGTGTTCCTGAAGACTTCTTTTTGTGATTAAAGACTTTTCACACAAGTCACACTTGAACTGTTTCTGTACTTCATGGAGAGCTAAGTGCATTTTTAATCCACGCTTGTATGTAAAGGTCTTTCCACAAACCTAATAAAAGAAAAAAAAAAATCCATATCCAGTGGACTAGGACAAAAAAAACAAACCTATGATTTTGTACCAGACTTTGCACACATTCTTCTAGATATAGAATTACGAACTTTCATGATTAGACTTCATTCTAGTTTTCTCAATCTTGGACTACAAGAATTTTCATCAGGAATGTATTCTGAAGTGACCTAAATTAATCTAAATTGTAGGACAGAGTGTAAATACTAAAATACCAAGAAAAGATTACTAATTTGATCAGAGAGTAAAAGGACTTTCTCTTTACCTTGCATGCATGTGGTTTTACACCTGTATGTTTGAGCATATGTATTCTGAGAGAATAGAGCTTAGGTAGAGTTCTCCCACATATATCACATATAAATTCCCGTTTAGTTCTCCCTTTCACCGAAGACGTGCCTGTCTCTTCTGCACTGGAAGCTGCAGTGTTCACTTCAGTCTTCCGAGTGTGCCGGACAAGATGGGCTCGCAGCGAGGCACCATACTGGAATTCTTTCTTACACAACTGGGAAGAAAATATTACAACTTTACTTCACGTTTAATATTCAAACACTATTTAAAAAGGTAATCAAAGGTTTTAAGTGTATTAACATGATTAGCTAGGCCTATAACTTGATGCCAAAAGGCATTTTATCTCAGGTTAATTCATAGTTGTAATTTTTTAATTTTATGGCTACTGACAGAACCACCGATCACTTCCCAATGAGGCTAACTTCTAGGCTAATCTAAACACAGTTGAAAATTTACGGGTAAGGTTAAAAGTAAAGCCCACACCAGCACTGTCTTGAGCAGCAAGCATACTCCCACATCACACAGTGCTGACAGGCCATGTGGCTGCACCGCATTTTACCCCACCCTATCCAGATCATGGCTACATCCCTAAGGAAAATAAATACATGTACAAAAAAAATATAAGAAAAATCATTACTAAAGTTGTTACTGAATAATTTTAATGAAGAGGGAGCTTTACAAAAAGGAACCTCCAACTTACTGGGCATTTATAATCTTTAGATCTTTCATGTTTCAGCGTGTGCATTATAAGTGCATAGCGCCGCTGGAACACCATTCCACACTCAGTGCATTTGTGCTGAGCTTCTATCTCATTATTTTCTGTGGTGTCTCTTTTGGGCTGCTTCATTCTTTTTCCTCGTTGTACCAGCTTCATGGCAACCTAAGTTGGAAAAACATAACCCTTGAATGAACTTTATTGCACTTTATTTCATATTTTCTCTGCAAGTTAGTACTGAAGGCTGATGTTTCTGTGACTTACTATAATACCACCTGATTTTGCTCAGTTTACTTAGCTGCTAGGAAGTTACCCTAAAGTTCACTGCAAAACTACAGATCTCATGGTGGGTGAGAAGTTGGTCTTGTTTTGAAACCATAAACTGATTACAGTTATAGGCAGACAATGACCTACCAGTTCAGAGATAACTAACTATTCATCCCTGAGTAACTGCTAAGTGAGAGCTAACTTACAGATGTACTACAAAGTACTGCCTGTCATGATATTATCTACCAAATCTTTCCAACCCTTTCCTAAACTCTGATTTCCCTTTTCAGCATTTACGTCTGCTTTACTACAAAAGTCAGATTAAAATATAAGTGGCCTAATTAATTTTTACCAGCCAGCAAAACCTGAGTTATTAGGAACCTGTAAGAAAAATGCCGTATTTAAGCAAAGTTCTTTTTTTGTTTATAGCATTCCAGCTTTACTAGTGGTTTGTGGGGTTTTTTGTTAAGCAGTATTGTCAGTGCTACCTGGAGCTGTTAATCTTGCTTTCATTTGCAGAAACTTGCTGTCAACTTCTTTAAAAGCCAAACTGTAAGTGATCAGGTTGAAATTTCCTGTATCGGCTATCTCCCCTTTGGGTTTCTGAGAATAAGGCAAGGGAAAAAAGTACAAGCATCCTCATTTCCTCTTCCTGTTCTCCCAACAAGTGAGGTATTTAACAGTTTTTGCAAACATTCTAGCCCTTCAGCACTTCCATGTCTCTCAAAACCAAACTGAAACTTAACACAGGGGCAACATCTTAATTTGTTTAATTTTGCTGTTGCTCTGAAAACTGATGCAAACAGGCTAAACTGTGAAGCCACAAAAATAAATTTTGTTCACTAGATGATTAGTAAGAGCTTGGACAATAATCTGTTCATACAAAGCATATTTCATCCCCATGCCAACTGCAATTACTGCAATTCAAAAATTAGCAGCACTTTTCCTGCAGCCTGTCTTTCCTGTTATTCTTCCAGCAACAAAACTGGGAGTGTCCCCTTCCCAGTGCTTGTATGACATCCAGTGCCATGGAAGGGGAGCTGAGGGATGCATGAGACAAAAATGTTAAGAGCTATGAAATGAGTTAGGAAAGCAGAAACCTTGTCCCGATTTCCTAATTCTGAGCAATTATGTAAACCATTTTTTTTTTTCCATAGGCGGTCACTGTCTGCAGACCTCATCTGTCAAGGGGCGAGATTTAAAAACTGCAAAATGTTAAGGAGGTTAAGGTAGACATTCCCTCTTCCAAAACAGGAGAAAAACCTTGTCCTTCTCCAACCATTGTAAATAGGTTGCTCAACTATTTTGCTTGTGCTAGTTTTAGCATCTGGGCTTTAACTTGTCCATCTGTGAAAGTAGACTGATGTTACAATTTATATCTACAAGGGTGTTGTAATGATAAAGAACTATCCCCCTGGTGGGGATTAGTGGCTCTAGTATGCAAGTATCTCACAGAACACCCCTGGAAATTAACACTTAAGATTTAGAGATTTAGCTGACTTGCAGTGAGTAACACAAAAGGTACTGTCACAGAAACAGATGTAATAATGCTCAGCGAGATGATGTCAGCTGTTCACTGGCACTAGAAGAGGAAAGACTCTTGAAGGGAAACGAGTAAGATGACCACTTAATTTGAAAAAACCCAAACAACAACAAACCAAAGCCATCCCTCCTCCCCCCTCCAAAACCCTAGTTCAATTGCTAAACATTTAATATGTCCAAGTGCTACAGTTTCTAGTATCAGTGCTCTCTGAACATACTTTTTAACTGACCACAACCTGAAGGACTAACATCATTGAGACTCACGACTATGTCTTAAAATGTACTTAGGATGTAAAATTTTTCATCCCCAGTGCTCTGTTTTCAAGTCTTAATAGATGTAGAGTCTCATTTTTCTAACTGATAAATACATTTGTCTACAACTGACATACACACATGCTAGTTAAGAATTACATTCCCAGATCATCTAAGAATTTTAGAGAGAAGATACACATTCTGTCCAACCAAGCTGTGGGGAGATACTCCAGCTGGGCTAAGGCCACTGAGCATTCTAAAGATCTTCAATATGGAAAAAATTTTGGTACAGATGTTTGGTTTGTTTGGTTTTTTTTTTTTCGTTTTGCACAACTGTCACATCTTAGAAGTTACTTTGGTTTGCAGCAATGTCAATTGCTCAACAAAGAAAACATTTGCCAGACAGTGCTTGGAAACAGCAGTGTCTTTTCAGACTGGTCTTGAAGCACTTCATGATGACTGACAACAGCCCTGAAAACAGATAGAATACCTGCTGTATTGCAGATTTAGGATTTGTCTTTCTATTTTGGAGTTTCTTTTCAATTCCTTTATGCAATCTGATATATCCCCCTTCAGAAACAGAACGCTGGCGAAGCTTGCTTTTAAAAGTATTATCTTGGCTTTCTGGTTGTAAATCTGAGATGCTCTGTTCTTTACTTTGACTGCCATGTGTCTGCTTGAGTGTTTCTGAGGAGTCTTCGGAAGCCATGTCCACATTTGCTTTAACACTTTCATTTTGATCTCCCTCAGTTTCCGTTTGACCTTCTGTGTCCATGGCTTCTGCAGCCGATGGCTCCGCCTCTGCGACAGACACGGTGCTATTTTCAATGCTCTCCAGCAGCTGTATCTTGACATAATTTTCAGTTGTTTCACACTGCTCCACAGGCTTTGAAATATCATCTGGAGTGGCCTCTGCAGGCTCTGGGTATGAGAGGTCAGGCTGGGGTGCTGCTGCCTCCTCTGTCCCAGCAGAGGAAGGAGCTCCATTCACAGCTACTGGCACCTCACTGGCTGTGAGCTCAGGTTGCTCAGCACCGTCCTTGGGCTGCATCCCAACTCCAGTCTGCTCTGCTAAATTTTGCGTTGATTCTACTGTTTGAACATCTCCCTTTTGGTACACTGTAATTTGCTTCTCTTCCATCTGTTTGTGCACGTTTTCACAGATTTCGAGGACCTCCGACATGAAGAGATGCCGGGCAAGCATGGCGACTTCTGCCATACTACAGAAGTCAAAGGTTAGTTCTGAAGTATAAGCAAATTCCAAAAGAGGCAGGAAACTGGACTTGCAGAACCCTACCAGGAATAAACCAACAGATTAGAACAAACAGTGATGACCCCAAATTACATCAAAATATTCCATGAAGAATACAACAATTCATCTTCGATATGGTTAAGACTGAAATTTAGAGCAAAACACACTTGCAAGTAACACTGAAGCCCCTCCACTGGTACTCAATTAATAATAATTTACACAAAAGCATCCTCCTTGTGTATTTTCTATGCGGAAGTAAGCTCAGACAACTTTTCCAATAGGTAGAACTGAGGTTCTATAAAATTCTCGAGAAGAATGTTTCAAGATGCTGCGAGAGCCACAATATTTTTGAAGCAGATTAACCCTAATTTAAGCGAAGTCTTTCTGGACCTGCTACATTCAAAAAGTACTCAAGACTCAAGTAACAAATGATGTGGCAGAAAAATAAAACAAGTAAGTGGCTAATGAGAAAAATAAAGATATGGATTTACAGATAGAAATACTTGAAAACAAGCATTTGGTATAACTTTCCCGCAGTTCTTTAAATTTTAAATCAAATATTTGATTTGGAGGACCTTCTGGACCATCATACTAGAAATCTATTGTTCATGCATGTCTATTGCTCATGCAGACACAAAGACAGTTAAGAAACTAATGGGAATGCAACACAGGAGGCATATGTTCTGTACAGGATTCTTCATCACTATAAAGCTATTTTTAGAACATTTATTTTAGGATGGTCTCGTATCTTCAAGGTACCAGAAGGTCTGAGAAATAAGCAGAAACATGTATAATAGTGTTTCACAGACACAGGAAACAATTTAGCATTTGTACAGCTAAACAGCTCTCCAAGAAGCTAGTCAACGCGCCCTCTTGATGTATTCAAGCATTTGACTATGTTCCCTTTCTTAATGTTTGTGACTAATACAAGGAGGAAACAAACCTAAGCAAAGTAAAAATCAATCCAAAACTTCTCAGAAATTTTAAGATGAAATCCCAAAGTCCATCCAACATGGAAGATCAGATTATGCAAAACCAGAGTAACCACTTTAGTGTTAAGACACACACAAAAGAGAGAAAAAAAGCAAGATAAAATACATGATTGTCTTGAACACTCAAAAAAAAACCCCAAAAAAAGTGAATCAAATACTGTTCACCTTACTTAGGATATTATGATTTCTAGCTTTGAAACCCACAACAATTCACCTGACAGATCCACTACAGCTTCATGACTAGTGACAGCTCCCTTTTCAATGAAGAGCTCTCGGAAGTACTCGCTGCTGGCTGCCAAGACAGATTTGTGAGCTTTGTACTCCTCTCCTTCAATCAGCAGAGTCACATCACAGAACTGATTGGAAAGCCTCTGCTGATTCAGTTGATTTAAGACTGACAGACAATGTTTGGAAGATGACTGCTTCACAAGGCCCTTACTGTCAACCTGTCATAAACAACATTATGAGAACTTCATTACATTTGGACTGTGCCTTTTTAAGCATTCACACTGAAACACATAAAAGGATTATTTTCTGCAATCATACAATCATTTCCAGCCTGCATAATATACAGCTTAACTTTACCATTATTTTTTTTCTTTAAATGCATCAAGTTTCACCCTCCCTCCAAACACAGTTAAACAACTGGAAAAATGGGAAAACATGGATATTCAAACAGTTCTTTGGCCATATTTTTTCAATGCTGCAATCTGAAGTTGTTTCTAGATTCAAAGGTCTTTACATGCATACGAGCCCGCAGTTATCAGCATGAATTGTATATATAAATATACCACCATTTATTAAGGAACAGATACAGATTCCATGAGAATCTTGTATGAGATGCTTTACTACTTTTGCCATTCATTTTCCCGTGGGTCCTATACGCATAAACAGGAGTCAGGGTGGTATTATTTTCCAAAGATGACATACTGTAACTAATATATCAGTGACCCATTTCCACATATTGAGTATCTCTGGCAAAATTTATGTCATCTTATTATTACAAGATTATCGCAGCAATGCTAAATAAGTATGTGACTAGGAACGCATTAATAACCACCTTACATACATTCAGATGTAAACAATGGTACTTACAAATACAAGTTCATGCTTTGCTATTGGCTTCTTCTTCACAGGCTTTGGGGATGCAGCTGGGATTGATGCTGTATTACTCAACTCATCATCTGTTTCATTACTGTCTTCATGAGATTTTGTATCCAGTCCTAGTTCCTCCAGCATTTCAGAAGGATCTGACAGAGATCTAGAGCGATCTAGCTTTTCCTGGCACTTACTGCATTCTTTAATGTAATCTTTAACCTGCTTAAGAATACCTAAGAAAAATTAATGGAGCTTAATTAGGCTTTTGATCTTCATTCAATTAATCTTAAACATGTAATTAAATATGTGATTAGCAAAACAATACTACATGCTTACTGAGAAAAACCAGATCAGTCACGTACACTTTTCCATCTCTGATTTCTTACCAGTTCTGCTTCTCTCACACCATTGTATGCTATTGCACATCACTACTGTAATCCATCATCAGTTTGAGATAGAACATTTTAACCATCACTATACCAAGCAGACCCTCTTACAAAGATTTTTAAGGCTACAAAAAAATTTGTATTTATACATGCACCCTGAGAATCCCAAGGCAATGAAAGTTGTAGCCTAGCCCTGCATTTAGCCCACACAAGTGGATCTCAGCTTGTCCTTACTGAAAGGGACAAGAATTGTAAAGCTCACCTAAGGGCTTTTGTAAAATTAGAACCAACTGTGTTATATGCAATTATACTCATTAACACCAATTTCAATCAATTACTTATGATTTTAGGATTTAAATAAATTAATTTCCCACCAGTACTCTAACTGGATAAACTAAGTAATTTTAGATACTAAACAGTTCCTAAGCTCAGGGTCCTCTTCAAGGTACCAAGGCATTTCTAGTGTATGGCTTTCAATCCAAATGCATTTTCTTCACTAGGATAATATAAAAGCATACCTAACAACAGCTGTGTCTCAGTAGTTCAAAATCTAGCATAGCTCTAAAACTTGGCTGATCTACAGAGTTAGACTTGCCCTGCTAACACCTTTTCAGAGCATGAGATGCACTATCGTTACATACGTATGTATCTCTGCAAGGATCAGGAAAACAAGACTTCAGGCAACGCAAGATACTCCAACCCAAGCGACATTCATGCCCATTTCAAACACTTTATGTTTTTTTGATTTTATCTGAAACTGGGACTAGGTCTCAGGACAGATCTCTGGTCTTCTGATCATGTATCTAACACCCTTCCTGGCCACTGGGTCATACTCCAGCCCATTGCTTCCCAGTTACAGAGCAGACAGACACAACAGACTGGCACCCATCTCGGAATGATAACTGGGTCAAAGCTGCTGTCCACTAGCAGCAGAAGAGTATTATAACAGCAGGACAAATCAGTGTTCCATAGAAGAGACAGGTAAGAAACGTAACGCTTGAACTGAAAGCAGAGCATGAATTTTAGTATTCTTAGTGCAAGAGAAATAAGAAACTTATTGTTGTGCAAACAAAGGTAAGCAATAAGATCACAAGATGAAGAATATAGAATATAGAATGCCCCCTTCTGATGAAAAGATATACTGAAGTCCAGTAAGGAACTTTCCAGCACAGGATAACAGCAGATGCTAGAACAGTCCAACACTAGGCAGACAGTAAGAACCCAGATAAAGGTAAGGAGGCCACCATTCGGAATGGATGTCTTTGAGACACCAAATTCTTTTTCACATCAAAGATTTTCAAGTCTATGAGGTCTGTACTGGAAGGATGGGCTGCAGCTAGACCAAAAAGCTTCCAAATTAAGATAGGGAAAACTAAAGCTGAAATGACAGACTTGCTGACTGATGGATGGGAAAAAAAAAAAAAAAAAAAAAGGCAGAACAAGAGAAGCAGTACAAACAGAAACTAGGCTCTGAGCAACTGAAAAGCAGGATATTTGTTTAACGGATACACAAGACTAAAAGTAGAACATCAAATGCAAAGAGAATACAGGTTACAAGTCATTGGCTCAACCAAAAGAGGGCCCCAATTGGGAATTGTTGCTGTTCATACACTATAATTTCTAACAGCTATGACATCACTCAGGAACCAACTGAGAATTACTCTTATCTTTTCAGATTATCATTGGAAGAAAGAGACAAATATAGTAAGTGCCAGGGCTACAAATCACCACTGGCTGCCCTGCTATTTAAACGTGAACAGCATCCACGTGGTAATGGGAAAAAGTATTATGAGGTTAAAAGCTGAATGAACTAGGTCACATGGAATGGATTATCGTTCTGTAAGATGCATACAAGTGGAGAAATCGCCACCTTAAGCAGCCTGGCCACAACACTTGGATGGGGACAACCATGCTCCGTGCTTCCATGTACTCAAACCACCATTGCTAAATAAGAAGCCACAAGAAAATGTGCTGACCAAGGTGTAACCCACACGGCAAGGCGAGGCCTGCCTGTCAAGGAGAGACTCGCAGTCGCAGTCTACAGACCACGGGGTGTTTCAAGGCACCAGTCAAACAGCGACAGTCCCCTCCTGCTTTCCCTAGGGAGCGCACGCAGCCATCCTCTTCACAATCCCTGCGCCCGGTAAC